AATCCTATTTCCCCCCCCCCGCCCCCCCCCGCCCCACTCAGTGCTGGGGCTTGAACTCAGGTCAGGGCCTAGGCACTGTCCCTGAGCTTCTTTTGTTCTTGACCACTTGAGCCACGGCGCCACTTCCAGCTTTTTCTGTGTATGTGGTACTGAAGAATCGAACCCACGGCTTCATGTATGCTGGGCAAGCGCTCTACCACTGAGCCACCTTCCCAGCCCCTCATTTCCTTTCACTTCTTCCTGCTCACAATACCCTGTGCCTTCCACCTGCCAGACAAGGTGCATGCGCCTTCCAAGCCTCGCCATCTAGGCTAGCAATTATCAGTAGCTTAACTTTTTCTAGTTGACTTCTTTCCAATAATGATCATGGTCAAAGAGGGAAAGGTTTCCTCTTTCCTTGACACAGACACCTGTATATTCATTACAGCAGCCTGTTTATCTATTCAAAACTGTCATGTTGCTAAATCACATGGATGGTGTGTATGAAACACAAATTCACTGTAGTTCCAATAAGAGATAGAAGAGGAAGATCATGAAGTCGAACACTACTGCAATTTACAGGACACTTCAGAAACAGCGTGAGAAATACTACTGAGGTTAACAGTGTTTTTTTTAAGACTGTAAAACCCAGTTACGCATAGCTGTTGTAACGATCTGCTCACCTCGAAACGAGAGAGGAAAGAAAATCACTCAGGTGCATTAGTGTGAGGACAAAGTGTGTGTGTCAGAGTGGGTGTGAGCTCCCAACACCCGCGCCTCACCTTCTTCTGCAGGACATTGACCTTCCTCTCCTTCACGTCCAGCATGTCCTTGAGGTCGTGAATCTCCCCAGCCTGTGTCCCCTTCTCCTCGGCCATATCCTGAATTTGCTTCGTTTTTTTATTCAGCATGGTTTCCTTCTCTTCCAAACGCAATCGGAGAGCGTCTACCTGAGAAGGCGAGATTACCACAGGTGATTAATGGAAAAGAAAAAAGGATCATCCCTTTCCTATAGATAAGCTACAGAGTTTACTAAAAGGCTGATTACTTCATTTACCTAAAGTAATGAAATGTTGATAATTAAGATTGTAGCAAATCACCAAGCTTCTATACTAGCACAAACTACTGACAAAGAGAAGACACAGACTATAGAATGGGGGAAAATCTTGGCCAGATATCCACCTGATAGGGAATTTATTTGATTTATTTTTAATTTTTTGTCAGTCATAGGGCTTGAACTCAGGGCCTGGATGCTGTCCCTCAGCTCTTTTGCTCAAGACTAGGGCTCAACCACTTTGAGCCACAGCACCACTTTGGCTTTTCTGGTGGCTCCTTAGAGATAGAGTCTCCCAGACTTTCTTGCCTTGGCTGGCTTTGAACCATGACCCTCAGATCTCAGCCTCCTGAGTAGATACGATTATAGGCATGAACCACCTGATAAATTACCTGATAGGTAATTTATAAAGAATTCAAAAAAGTAAACACCAAAATAGCAAATAGCCCTATCAAACACATGAGTGAACTAAACAGAAACATATCTGGTGAATAAGTAGAAATAACCAATAAATACATGAAAAAATGTTCAACATCCTTGACCACCAAGGAAACGCCAAACAAACCACAATGAAGTTTCACAGTAATGGCTGTTATGAAAACAGCAAAATGCTAGGATGAGGATGGGGAGGAATGCTTATCTCTCGGGATGTGAATTTCCACTATGGAAATCCTCAATAAACTAAAAATAGAAGTCCATATGATCCAGACACACCACTTCTGGGTACATACCCCAAAGAGTCAAAGTCTGCTTCCTGTAGAGACACTTGCATACTATCGCTAAAAAAAAACAAACAAAAACCACCTGGTAATCACAGCTGAATCACTACTGGATGACTTAGAATCCTCAATATGAAATTCAACCACTGGGCTACTAGAGATGTCGAAGGAACTCCTTGACTCTCAGGAGGCTGAGATCAGAGGATCGTGGTTTGAAGCCTGCCAGGGCAGGAAGTCTCTGACTTTGCCAGAAGCAAAGCTGTGGCTCAAGTAGTAGAGTGCTAGCCTTGAGCAAAAATACTTAGGGACAGGGCACTAGCTCTGACGTCAAGCCCTAAAGACTGGCATAAAAATTAAAAAATATAAATAAAAACAACCTTTCAAACGTTAAAAGTGACATGGTCCTTGGAAAAAGTGACTCTTATTGAATGCCATCAGAGAAAATTATCTTTAGGAAAGTGCTAATAAATGAACATAATGCAATCTTATGATCGGTTCAAGTTCAAAGAAGTTAGCTTCCTGCTCTTATAATTTAGCACAGGAGTTACAGCTGAGTGGTTGTCCTAGCAACTTAGGACTCAGCTACACATGGCGTCTAAAACCAAAGACAGAATCGTGAAAGAACTGGAGGACAGCCCCATCTGCGCGAGACCTGGTTCCAAGACAGTGCTTGAGCTGGGTACCAAGAGGAGGCTGGACTGCTGCGGGAGAAAGTCATTCATTAGACGGTGACAAGCTTCTAAATGTTTGCATTATCACTAACCAACTGGCCGAGGTTCTAGGGCTGGCACACCTGCCACCTCCACTCAAAGCCACCAGTCACAAATCGGGAGCAGTCCCATAGCGAAGACACCGGCGCCCTCTTCTGACCTTTGTGTGGTATTGCATATTCAAATTACCAAAGTCAAAAACCCGTTAGAAACCCACAAGTGAACAACTGCAAATACTTTCCAGAAGAAATTATGCTTATAATTCCGTGAATAAACCCAAATGTAGCAAAAATAAAAGTATGAAAATCGTGTCAGCCAGGCACCGGTGGCTCACCCCTGTCATCCTAGATCTGAGGATCTTGGTTCAAAAGCCAGCCCAGGGCTGGGAAGTTGGCTCAGTGGTAGAGTGCTTGCCTTGCATGCATGAGGCCCTGGGTTCGATTCCTCAGCACCACATACGCAAAAAGAAAAAAGCCGGAAGTAGCACTGTGGCTCAAGTGGTAGAGTGCTAGCCTTGAGCTGAAGAGCTGATGGACAGCGTCCAGGCCCAGAGTTCAGGCCCCATGACTGGACCCCCCCAAAAAAAAAGCCAGCCCAGAGTCTTTTTTTTTCCCCCAGGGCTGAGGACCCAACCCAGGGCCTTGTGTGTGCCAGGTGGCCAGGTGGGCACCCTTCCACTGGGCTAAACCCCCAGCCCCTGTGAGACTCTTCGATAAACCACTCAGAAAACCGGAAGTGGTGCTGTGGCTCAAGTGGTAGAGCTGAGGGACAGCACCCAGGCCCTGAGTTCAAGCCCAACCACTCACAGAAAAAAAGAAAAAAGAAGATGGTTGTGTTTGGTACCAAACCTCGTGCTGCCAGATAGTGCAACACACACACACACACACATACACACACACACACACACACTGCACAGAGCAAGGCTGCCAGATAGTGCAACACACACATACACACACACACACACACACACACACGGCACAGAGCAACCAGGCAAGGCACAGGAAAGGGTGCAAAAGAAGCACTTGCAGTGAGGCCCGTGGCGCCTACCTCGGTCTGCAGAATGGCAGCCCTCTGCTCCTTGGCAGTCAAAGACTCCTTCAGCACCTCAATATGCTGTTTACTGTCTGAGAACTGGTTCGTGAGTGTTTCCAGTTTTGTCTGCAGGGCAAGAAGTTCTGTGTCCTTTCTGGACAACTCCTGTTTCACCTGGCCAATCTGGAAAAGAAAGCAGCACTGTAAGGAAAGGAGAAATGAAATGAGCAAGGCTGAGTGTGGGTCAAGTTATGGCGCGTTTCTCTAGCAAGCGCGAGGCTCTAAGTTCAAACCCCAAAACCACCAAAAAGAGGAAAGAAATGACAACCCGAATCTTTGACAGACCTACACCACAAGATACTTAACTAACTGCAATTAACTTCATGATAGACAGAGGGGGTCGGACTGCAGTGTACCTCGGTAGTGGAATACTTGCCTTGCACGCAGAAGGCCCTGCGTTCATTCCCAGCACAGCAAATGAACAGATGGATGGATAAGGTCATCTTTGTGCATTATCTAATCTTGGATCACTCTCCCCCAACAACAACAACAAAATCTAGGGTTACTCAATGAACAGGGAAATGTGCAGCTTTCATTTACATCCTCTAAGTAGAGAGACAAAACCCCAGTTCCCCAGGAGGCTGGGAAGCAGCCGTAAGCACCGGAGTGCAGCTCCCCCGCCTCTCCAGACCAGGACAGATCCGACAGGCATCCGTGGAAGTACAAAAAGCAGACAGAGACACCTCCTCATGCTGCTGTTTAAACTAGTGCTATGCTTCGTTATTCTGTCATTATGTTTTCTTTCCCTTTCTCAATCAGAAGCTTCACAGAGGCCTTGTTAGAAAGCTACTTTCACTGCTACACAGTATACAGACATGCTTGACAAAGCCTCGAGTTCTGATGGATTCTACGGAGAGAATTTAAAAGACTCCATACCTCTCAAGTTCTATCACCTATCACGTCCCCTACCCAACAAATGGAGAAAAGCAGGTGACCTAAGCACAGAATGTGTTCTTCAAGAACTACTCATTCTGTAGGAACCTACATGTGAAACTTCAAAGTCCATTACTTGAAAAGGGCAATTTATAATAATCAACAGATCCATTTGCCCTACCATAATATCGCTCTTAACATAGAAAACATTTCCTTTTAAATACCTCCTTTATAGTCCTATTGTTTCTGTGAAGTTAAAAAATAGTCATTTATTCCAAATATAAACCAAATAAATGGAAGTCAGACCTGCTTTTCTATTAGGTTTACATTCAGCAAGGCACAAAAAGACAGGTTCATTATTAAAAGTATACATTTAAACCAGGGACCCAAGACTCATGCCTGTAATCCTAGTTATTCAGGAGCTGAGACTTAAGGATCACAGTTCAAAGCCAGCCAGGGGAGAGACTTATCTCCAATTAACTACCAAAAAGCTGGAAATGGAGCTGTGGCTCAAGTAGCAGAGCACTAGCCTTGAACAATAAATCTCCCAGGACCTGAGTTCAAACTCCAGGACCAGCACGCGCGCGCACATGCGCGCGCGCACACACACACACGTATAAACACACGTATAAATTTAACAATAAGTCAGTTCATTTTGGCAGCATTCATGAAACAAAAGTCCTTCATTTAAAAAAAAAGGTAAAGGAAAAAAGTTCTGTGAAAACTATTTCCCTAGAGAAAACATATTATACTTTAAAATTAGACCTTGAAAGAATATTATCAGTAAAGGCCTAATCTGGTCACCTATTTAAAAAAGACAAGCATTTCTCTCCTACCCATGAAGGCCCTAGCTGGACAGTGTTCACTCACCCACACTCACGGTGTGTAAGGTATCTGTGGAATCGCACTGTATCCTCTGCCAGCACATGACACAGTAGGAGCTAGTACCGCTCCCTCCTAGAACCTAGACTGGACTGGCAATGCATTTGTTGCGTAAATGATTACTCAGGAGAAATGTTCCAAGCACTACCATTTACTCAGTTAAGAACGAAGACTTGGAGCCTGCTCAAGTTTCTATTTCAAACACATATAAGCCAGGTAAAGTGGTACACCTTATAACTCCAGTACTGGAGTGGCTGAGGGTGGAGGCCGGTGAGCTTGAGGCCAGCTATGGGCTACAGACTGAGTTTAGGGCCCGCTTAAGTTACATAGTGAAGCTCTGACTCGAGAAAACTACATAAATAATCTGTTTACTAATTTGTGTCATTAAACAAGCTTCACATTCTGCTAACCTTGAAGACTGAGGAAGAGAAGAAATTTTCAACAAAAAACAGAATTTAGGAGAACAAACTTTCCTTAAAGAATACAAAGGGAGCTGGGTGCCAGGGGCTCACGCCTGTCATCCCAGCTACTCAGGAGGCTGAGATCTGAGGCTTGCACTTCAAAACCAGCCCAGGCAGGAATGTCTGTGAGACTCTGAAGAGCTCAGGGACAGCGCCCAGGCCCAGAGTTCAAGCCCCACGACCAATCAGCCCCATGATCGACCAAAAAAGAATGCAAAGGGAAGAGACTCATTATAAATGGGAAGCAAGCCGGGCGCTGGTGGCTCACACCTGTAATCCTAGCTACTCAGGAGGCTGAGATCTGAGGATCGCGGTTCAAAGCCAGCCCGGGCAGGAGAGACCGTGAGACTTCTATCTCCAATAAACCACCAGAAAACCGGAAGTGGCGCTGTAGCTCAAGTGGTAGAGCGCTCGCCTTGAGCTGAAGAGCTGAGGGACAACGCCCCGGCCCAGAGTTCAAGCCCCACAACCGACAAAAAAAAATAAAATAAATGGGAAGCAAATCTGACTTGGTAGTCAGCCACACATTAGAGTGGGTAAGCTGCGTGTCTTTGAGCCAAGTCCCCCTTTAAGCCTTGGCTTCCTAACTGGTAACATGAAGAAATTATACCAAGTTCCACGGTGTGGAGAGGACTCAATGACGCATGGTGCAGTGAGCTTGCCGGTGTGACATAACATGGAAATCTTGAATAGCACTAAGATAAAAAGAAAGTGGGAGGCAACTTCTTGAGGCAATATGTGGATACAGCACAAACCAAACTGGGCCTTTCCAAACACGGTACTTCTGCTTTCTGATCTATACTACAAATAGTCCATAAACAGGAAGTGTGCCAAATTGGCACATGTTTTGAAGGCTGCATTCCAGTCTCAGCCAACGTTGATTTCCAGAAGCAGTTTTTCCTGGCATGCTGACAAATGTGCACATGGCCAAATATAGGGAGACAGTGAAGAGCTGTGCGTCGTTTCCAGGACAGTCCAGACTGCTTTCAGCAACGAGGGGGCTACGGACCCCATTCTCTCGCTTTGATTTCTTGACAATCTCAGCCAGTTGTAAAATGCTTCCATTAAGTATAGCTGTTTATTATTTGTTTCTATGTTTCAAAGGGGAGGTTTTTTCATTAGACAAAAGGCCGAGCTAAGCTTCAGATGCTTGAAAATGAGTCTCAAGCAAACTCTACCCTGCCAGGTAACTCTAACAAGGCCATCACCTCCTACACAGCTGTGTGAGAGAAAACAACATTCCTTGCAAAATCCTTGAGAACTGGAAGATAACGGGCATCTGAGAAAGTCGAGCCCTGTGCTCTCCAGAGTTCCAAATTCAATAAGTGCTAGGTACCTCAGAGGGAAAAAGAAATACCGCCATCCACGTAAACCCAACAAGTATCCAGCAAAAAAGTGCTGAGAGAAATAAGCTTTGAAGTGCCGTCCACAGAGTGGCAAAAGCAATGATAAAGAACCAGGAACAGGGCTGAGCGGAGAGGGACAAGGGGGTTGAAGTGGTGAACAGGAGTCGTTAAAGAGCAGAGCAGACGGTTAGTACGCGCCAGAGGCAAAGCTGCCGACCACAGAGAATGGAAATGTCAGCCACCCAGAAGCCAAAGCCGCCGGCCCCACCGTGGGAGCGCTGCACACACACAGAGAAATCTTACGGCAAAGACCTCGGCCTGAAGACCAGCCGCTCTCTTTTTCAGCTCCTCCCCTTGAGCCTCTTTCGAACTTAGTTCCTCCTTCAGTTGCTCTACCTGTCACGACATCATTACTCTATTTCACTCGAGAGTCAGCTCCGGTCTTCAGATTATCTGCTCATGAGCCAAGGTGGCCACTAGAAATTACAATAGCTTGCATAACACAATCAAGTCTGTTCTAAATCAACACTTTTCTGTTTTTTCCAGGGCTTTTTGCTTTGTTTTGCTTTTTTCTTCTAAGTGGACTGAAATGGAAATTATATTTGGTTTCCAAATCTGGGTGAAAACTCCAAACTAACAGAAAGTTGGGTATATGAATCCAAGTTCTCAAATAAACATTTAGCTTGCAGAAATCATTGATAATAAGTTCTTTAAACAGTGGAGGAATATTCTCTAGACATATGCCAGGCACAGGTACCACAAAAGGATGTCAGGAATAGGGTGGAGTGGTAACTGTCACTCCTTTACACTACAGAAATGCTTGTGGTGGGGTCAGAGAAACTCAAATGGGCAGGTGGGACGCTCACTCGGGGTGGGACAGACACAAGAGGGCAGTATGCACTGAGGAGCAGTATCTGCTGGGTAAAACTGTATCGGTGCAGCTGTGATCTTTAGAAAACCACAACAAAACGGACAAGTTGAAAACCATAGTAAACGAAATCCTACAGTCCACCCAAATGGTGTACAGAATCAAAATAAACTAAGCTGTGAGTGGTGACTGCTTTTAAAGCACACCGGGTCTCCATGGTGTCTACCTGCTCAACACAGGCCTGCAGGGCATGTGAGTAGTAATGGCCAGGCAGTAAGTGTCCTCTCCCAAGGCAGCACCAGGACCTGGCCCATGCGGGAGGGAAACACCATCTCATTTAACCCATTCTGAAAAATGTGAGTTCACCCTCTTGGGGTTTTGACTTAAAAGACTTCCCAGGGGGCAGAGAGCTTCACATAATGAAAAGAACCCCCCGAATGTAATTCCACTACAGCACCCCAACTGCTGGCAGAGACGAAAAGCTAAATGGTGACAACATTTTTTAGTTTCATGTAAGGAATCTTCTTTTTAACAAAAAAGTTATAGTAATGATAACTGTAATCACGCTGCCAGCCATTCCAGCTCTAATCCTAGGAAAGCCCGTTCTCCCCGCAGTGTATGTAACACGCAGTAAGCCACCTTCCCCACGGCTGGGCTGTGGCGCTGGCGCTGGCGCGCGCCCCTACCTTATTCTTCATGAACTTCGAGTGGCTCCGGTACACCTCCATCTGCTTCACCTCCTCCTCCCGCTCCTCCGTGCTCAAAGCCCCATTCGACTTCAGCATCTGGATTTCCTCTTCCAAGTCTCGGAGCCCACGCTCCATAGAGGAAATTTTTGAATCCTGTGGATAACGGAAGAATTACACATTAAAACATTCACAAAAATACGGGAGCTGAATCAACAGATCTTTCAGAATGCTAAGGGAGGAGGGGGGAAAAAGGGGGCAGCAAAATTTCTACCTAGTTTGTGATGCCTTGCTTCTAAAACTCACCTTTTACTGCACCCTTTACCAGATATGAGGAGGGCTCACGTCCTCAATGTCTGCCTCACATTCTAGACCTTTCCATGACAAGTTAGATAGACAAGGAAGTAGAAGAGTGAAGAAACCGTTTCTTTGTGCTTAATAGTGAATACATTCAGCCGGGTGCTGGTGGCTCACGCCTGTAATCCTAGCTACTCAGGAGTCTGAGATCTGAGGATCATGGTTCAAAGCCAGCCTGGGCAGGAAAGTCTGAGAGACCCTCATCTCCAATAAACCACTCAGAAAACCAGAAGTGGCGCTGTGGCTCAAGTGGTAAAGCGCCTGCCTTGAGCTGAAGAGCTGAGGGACAGGGCCCAGGCCCAGAGTTCAAGGCCCAGAACCAACAAAAAAAATTAAATTAAATTAAATTACTGAAGAGGCATTTGGTTAAGTCACACTGCTAATATGAATCAACTATTGTAACTGGCCAAGAAACTGCAATTTTAAGCTGGGCGCTGGTGGCTCACACCTGTAATTCTAGTTACTCAGGAGGCTGAGATCTGACAATCCAGGTTCAAAGCCAGCCCAGTCAGAAGTCCATGAGTCTCTTATCTCCAATGAACCACCAGAAAACCAGAAGTGGAGCTGTGGCTTAAAGTGGTAGAGCGCTATACTTGAGCCCAGTCCCCAAGTTCAAGCCCCACAACAACAACAACAAAATATCCCTTTAATTTTAACAAAAACCTTTTTCTCAGTGTAATAGTTTACCATTTTACTTAGTAACCCTCCAGGGCACATCTCTTCTCCAAATGAAGGACAAAAGAGAGCTTCAAAGATTTATATAATGATGTGTATAACTCAAAATATATAAAAAATTTCATATCATTGATTGCCGAAAAAAAAGGAATGAATAATAATGTTACTTTTGGAGATGTTAAAAATCATCCTCTGCAACCTCCACATGCTTGAAATATGTCATAATTTTTTTTAATTGCTATGTTCCATGGCATGTCTGTAGTCCCAGCTTCTCAGAAGCCGTGGCAGGTGCCTGGGCAACATAACGAGACCACTGCCTCCAGGAAAGTTTCATTTAATTAAAAGAATTACAGTGTTCTTATAAGTCATCACCGTAACACAAATATCACCTCCAACACTATACCCTCCTATATTCAATTTCCTAATTTTGTCTGTGACAGCATCTAATTTATCCTCAGACAGTTGGAAGGGGGCCAGTTCCAGAGCACTCCTCCACGGAACGCACAGCACTTTATCTGCGGTTTCACAGGACTCGCTGAAGCACAGATCTGCGAGAGCGTGAACCAAGTTTAGCTCATGTCTCTTGGAGTCTCAGGGAAAACATTCCTCTGGGAAGCAATCTTGAGACCGACTTCCTTTTCCACTTTATTGCAAGGCTTTCTTGGCTGATTTTCTGTGTTATCATAATTCAAGTGCAAGAAGACAAAAAGAATTTAAGGCTCTGCCCTGAGACAGCTACAACGCCTTTCAGGTTCTGGGGCCAGGAAGGGGGGGACCTGCAGAGGGAGGGGCACCCACCCCAGCCTTGCTCATCTCCATGCCGTTAACGTATCACAGCGCAAGTCTTCACCTCCGAATCCATTTAAACTTGTATTCTGTGCAAACTTAAATGTGTTGCATTAACACAGAAACATTTACATTTAAATCAGGATTTTAACCAACTTGTTTACAATCAGTGCACCTCACCTGGTCTCCTGGCTCATCAAAGAACCACTTCACTTACACTGTCTAAAGTTCTCTGAAGATGAGTGCCAACTTTTCTGCCAGTAACAGGATATAGTCTCCTAAAATTGACTAAACACTGGGCAGATGCACATGAAGGAAAGGAAGAGACGAGGTTCTCCCCTGTGCTAAATCGGGGATAATGAAAGGGCACCAGCTAAAAAGGGACATCTATTTTGGGCCTGCACAGCCCCACCTGTACGGAACGTGCTGATTTGGGTGCCTTCCTGCAGTGCGCAACCGTCCTTTCAGTCCCCCGCGGGGCCAGGACTCACGGGACCCTCAGTCCCAGGGGCCTCGTGGTCTGGTTCAATCCATTTCTGCCATGGGTTTATAGGACCGCACGGAGCCCTCCCTCCCCTCCCCCCCGCCCCGGCCCCCTTCCAGCCTCACTCAGCCTCCCTGGCTGTCTGCTCCTCAACCTCACTGAGAACCCCATGATCTCACACTTCCTCCCAACCTGTCAGTGTATCTCAGTCATCACCCTTCCACCTCATCAGCCAAACTACTGGCTATCCTTTCCGCACCCCTCAATCCTCTGCTCTCCCTCCCTAGCAAGACTCGAAGTCCTGCCCTGATCCCCCACCACTGAAGGAAGGGGGAGCCAAGGAGAAGGGAGAGGGGGCAGAGGAGGAAAGGACAGAAGGCAAGAAGGTGGTGGGAGAAGAGGTAAGGACGTCCCGGCCTCGTCACTGTCGATCACCCGTCCTCCTCCCCTGGCCGCTCAATCAAGCACCTGCTATATGTCCCTTACCATCTCAACCCAACGTCCACTAAACCCTCTGGGCCACAACCCCTCATTTCTCAGCAGAAAATTAACAAAATTAAAACAGATAGCCGGGTGCCTGAGGCTCACGCCTGAATCCTAGCTACTCAGAAGCCTGAGATCTGAGGATCATAGTTCAAAGTCAGCCTGGGCAGAAAAGTCCCCGTGAAACTTTTATCTCCAAAAAACCATTCAGAAACCCGAAGTGGTACTGGGGCTGAAGTGGTAGAGTGCTGCCTTGAGCACAAAGAGGCTCAGGGACAGGGCCCAGGCCCTGAGGTCAAGCCGCACAACCCACCGACAAAAATAAAAAACCAACAATGCCAGGCGTGGGTGGCTCACACCTGTCATCCTAGCTACTCAGGAGGCTGAGACCTGAGGATCACAGTTCAAAGCCAGCCGGGGCAGGAAAATCTGAGAGACTCTTATCTCCAATAAATCACTCAGAAAACTGAAAGTGGTGTGGCTCAAGTGGTAGAGTGCTAGCCTTGAGCTGAAGAGCTGAGGGACAGCGCCCATGCCAAGAGTTCAAGCCCCATGACTGACCAACAAAACAAAACAAAAACCACCACCACCAACAAAAACCAGATATGATACCAATTCAAAAGACTATATATATACCCCTGTCTTGTCAAAAGTTAGATATTACAGAAACAATTCTGTGAACACAGGTAAATTCATGTTTTATTTTTCAGAGTCAAGAGGGATCAGGAAGTAACAGGCAGAAAGGAACCTGTGGTGAATGTGAACAACGTTGCAATTAAACCACTCCAAGGTGAGATTCATGACCGCTGATTATCTACCCACACAGAACCCGGAATCCAGGAGGGAGAAAGATGTGCACAGGATGAAGTTTTAAAAGGAACTCACTTGAATTAAGAGGCTTGCTCTCATAACAGTCCTTACGTACAAGTACTTATCTGTAACCAAGTATTTGATGATGTCAAAAATACAAAATCATGGCCCATTATATAAAACGAGGCACCACCCTTCTTAGGGGAGGTAAAGTTAAACAGATGGGAGGCATGCCTCTGTCCGTTAAGAGCCATTATAAGAACAAAAAGCTAGGGCCAGGCACTGTGGCTATAATCCCAACTAAGTCTATGATTTCCACTCCATCTCCAATCATTTTCTAAAACTCATATAGAAAATGCGCTACATTTGAAAGAGTGACTTGTAAGATTCTTATACCTTAACCTCCAAAAGGACAAAAAAGTAGAAAGGGGCCAGAGGCATTGTTCAAGTAGTAGAGGGCCTGCCTAGTAAGCATGAGACCTGAGCGCAAAGCCAGGTCCATCACTCCAGTCTCACTTACCTTCATTTCAATAACGGTTTGCAGAGCTTTTGTTTTAGCAGAATCGGGGGCATTCTCAAACCTCCGGTGCATCTCCTACGTAAGAGAAGCAGAAGAGAGTCAGGGCTTCCTTCTCATTTTAAAGGGAGAGGGAGCAGGAGCGGGAGCTCAGCTGCTCCTGACCCGCACCTTTGTGAGGAGTGTGGCTGTGTGGATGGGGACTGCAGGCTGACTGAATGGCAGGGCGGGTGTAGGAGCATCCCCGCCTGCCCGCCCGCCCGCCTGCCAGCACCTCGTCACTCAAGCTGTCTGAACAGCGTCGCCTCTCTAGGGTGGCGACCTGGAGGCATGAACTCACCCAGAAAGGGGGTACCAGACAAGGTCCCCTTCATAAGAGAACGTGAACCCTCAATGCTGGAAGCATCCGTGCCACTGATCTCACCACGGCATCCACCCCAGAGTGCCAACCACTTGGTCACCTCCGCAGAGCGGGCCCAGGGAGAAAGGGAAGGCTGCTGAGCAAGTGTCTTAAGTCTTTCACGTGAGAAAACGCCAGACAAAGATACATGCCCCCCTCCCCCTCTCTCCTCTCTTTCCCTCCCCCCACCCTCTCTCTGTTGGTTGTGGGGCTTGAACTCTGGCCTTGGGCGCTGTCCCTGAGCTCATCAGCTCAAAGCTAGTGCTTTACCACTTGAGCCACAGCACCACTTCTGGTTTTCTGGAGGATAACTGGAGATAAGAATCTCACAGTAGCCGTAGCTGGCACCAGTGGTTCATACCTGTAATCCTAACTACTCAGGAGGCTGAGATCTGAGGATCTTGGTTCAAAGCCAGCCTAGGCAGCAAAGTCTGTGAGACTCTTATCTCCAATGAACTACCAGAAAACCAGAAGTGGCGCTGTGGCTCAAGTGGTAGAGTGCCAGCCTTGAGCTGAAGAGATGAGGGGCAGTGCCCAGACCCAGAGTTCAAGCCCTACAACCGGAAAAAAAAGAAAAGTCTCACATACGTTCCTGCCCAGGGCTGGCTTTCAACCACGATCCTCAGATCTCAGCCTCCTGAGTTGCTAGGATGACAGGCGTGAGCCACCAGCGCCTGACGCACGTTCTCTCTCTCTCTCTCTCTCTCTGCAGGTCCTGGGGTTTGGGTGCGGGCCCTGAGCTGCTTTTACTCAAGGCTGGTGCTCTACCACTTGAGCCACAGCACCACTTCTGGCCCTTTCTGAGTGGTTTATTGGAGATGAGTCTCATAGTCTTTCCTGCCTGAGCTGGCTTTGAACTGCAATCCTCAGATCTCAGCCTCCTGAGTAGCTAGGATTACAGGAGTGAGCCACCAGTGTCTGGCTTCATGGGTCTCTTTTTTTAACCCGCACTTCAATAAGCTTAGGATAGGAAAGAAGCTGCACCGTTCGCAGGATGGAGTCTTTCTACGAGACAGCAACCTCTCTCACTTTGAGGCAAATCACCATCATGAGGAGCCCATCTGCAGTTCCCACCACGTACACCAGGACTCTGACTCATGCACAGGGAAGAGACTGTACTCAAGCGGATGTGCTATTCACACAAGTGTAAGAACATTCCATACAACAGCTCTGTGACACTCCCAGTGGCCTGAAAAACCTCCATTAAAAATGAATTAGCCAGGCACAGTGGTCTCTGCCTATCATCACGGCGCTCGAGGGAGGTTGAGGCAGGCTGACCTCACATGCCAGGCCGGCCCGGGCTACAGAGAGGCCCTTCTCCTACCCCCAAGAGCAAAGAAATAGAAGATTAAGGGGGAATAATTGCAATAGATGCAGAAGTACATGGATTTTGTCACACTGTCAACATACTCTATGAGAGATAGTTCATTTTCTATCACCAATATAAGAAATAAGCTAGAGTTAGAAAATAAGTTAAAAACAAAATTGTGTTTCTTTTCTTTTTTGTGGGGGGGGTCTGGTTGTGGGGCCTGAACTCTGGGGCCTGGGCGCTGTCCCTCAGCTCTTCAGCTCAAGGCTGGAGCTCTACTGCTTGAGCCACAGCACCACTTCTGGCTTTTTTCTTTTTGCTTATGTGGTGCTGAGGAATCGAACCCAGGGCCTCATGCATGCAAGGCAAGCGCTCTACTACTGAGTCACCTTCCCAGCCCTGGTCTCTACCTCCTTTTACTGTAGATTCCGTGTGCATTTTGTGTTTCTCTTCTCTGTATCTTTCGTCCCTCTAATCTGCTTATATCGTCCAACTGCCACTGGACGACAGACATTCCCCATCTAGGACTGTTTCTGAAGCCCTTGCCTGGAATCGACTCCAACATTAGCACTTTCTCCTCAAGCTTTTCTGCAAACCTGCAAGGCTAGGTTTGTTTGTTAAAATACTACGGGAACAAAAACCAGCCAACTACAAACAGAGTGTTTTAGTGAAATTGTGTTTTATAGAGCACAGGGCACCTGGCTACACGTTAAAGAACAGGAGCACATGCCACCGGCTTGGCTCTGCTACTAAGTCTGTGTGCACAGACAGAATGAAGATCGAAAGTGCACGGCCATCTCAGTGTCCACTGCCAACAGACTGGTAGGAAGTTTAGGTCTCCATCCTAAGCACAAACCCTGTCTGGCTTGTAATTCAGCATTTGTCCAATAGATGTCCTCACTCTATCAATCAAAGGAGAGGACTAAGCAGCACAATACCTAACAGCAGGGAGGCAGGCAAGCCAGGGAACACACAGCACAAATGTGGTGCTCAGCAGAAATTTTAGCTATTCTTTTTGGTTTACTGGGAGAAGCTTTTCTTTCTATATACAGAATCATTCACCACTGCTATACTTCCTGGTGGAAAAACGGGAGGGGGAATGCCTCCAAATACATCCTAGTGCAAAGCTTTAGAACTTTTCATTAATACTGGCGGAAAGCGTTCCTTTTTAAATGTGTTTTTATGAACTGTTTTCCTAACTTTCTCTACACCCAGTAACTGTGTTTCAACCTTGGTTCGCAGAGCAGTTCTGAAGATGGAACGTCCTAGAACTCCCAGGACCATCTTAGAAATCCCAATAATGCCCACCTCTCCGCCGGTGAGGGTATGGATGATACTCGATCTTTTATTATCACACCTGGGGCATTTCAAGCCATCCGGTCCTTACCCACTTCCTGGTCCAGCCCTGGCTCTCCCTCCCCCATCTCCTCAACACACCTCATCTACCTTCTCCTGAGTAAACAGCAGCACTCTGGCATTCTGAATACAACTGCTGCACTGGCTAGGAGGGGGTGAGGCCTCTGGGCACCTCCCTGGCAGCAAGCGACTTTAATCACACGTCTTTTATAGCAAGGCAGTGGTTTCCATGGGAACTGCAGGGCAAACATCTGCTACTGCGTCCAAGGACTTGATCCACACCCAGAAACCGGGGTGATGGTTCTCTTACTGATATTTCAGGCTTGCTTTCTCCTGTTAGTGTTTTAAAAGAGCAGCACTCAGCTGCTCTGATGCTAGGTTTGCTGTGCTGTCCCTATGAACACATCTGGAGGCAGGTAACAAATCAAGGAAATTCTGTGTCCTTCTAGCAACAAATGAGCCTCTAGAAATCAGGTGCATGCGTGCATGTGTGCATGTGCAAGGTGGAAGAGGTTGCCAAGCAACACAGAAAGCAGATGATGTCACCCCAGAGAGAGTATATCAGAGAAAAGCAGTGTAAATGGAAACCTAAGAGACGAACTTCCCGCTTCGCAGCACAGGGAAGCCCACGGATTCACGGCACCCGCGAGCGGGCGGGCAGCGCCGTGGGAGCGCGCAGCCTCACCTCCCTCAGCATGTTGTTCTCCTTCTCCTTCTGCTCCAGGATGCTCTCCAGGTGGTGGACGTGCATCTCGGCCTCGGCCAGCCGCCGCGTCCTCTCGTGGTCCTCCTCGGTGGCCTTGGCCGAGAGTCCTTTGCTCTGCAACATCTCCAAAAGCTTCTTAATGGACTCGTCCCGAGCACTGAGGGTTTGCTTCTGGGTCTCAATCCGCAGCTCCATCTCCTCCAGGGTCTTCCGCAGAAGGAACAGCTCCTTGGCCTGCCGCTCGTGCTCAGCCTGCAGCCGCTGGAAGTTCTCCTCCGTCAGCTCCGCCACGCTCGGCTCACCGGCCCTGCTGCTGCTGTCCTGCTGGAACAGCTGGTTCAGGTCCCTCTGGATCCTCAGCTCATCCTGCAGAGCCTGGATCGTCATCTGCATGTGCTGGGAGCGACACAAAAGACCCACGTTAGCCTCCGACCACGGCGTCAAGGCCAAACAGCTCAAGATGGGAGAGGAGCCTATGGGCCCTCCAATCTGCAGCCTGCAAATTAGGATTCAGCCCAACCTGTTCCACACACGATCAACCAGTAATTTCACACATGCTTGTTCCACAGTAAATATGACCATCCCACACTGTGTAGCCATGATACAAACCAAGACCCTTCAACACCAGATGCCTGATGGAGATTGTGGTTTTCATCAGAAAAAAATAACTCATCTGAAGAACACTGCCATAATCCATCGTATACCTTTTTTGTGTGTGCATCAGTCATGGGTCTTAAACTCAGGGCCTGGGCGCTGACCTTGAGCTCTTTTGATCAAGGTTAGCACTCTACCACTCTAAGCCACAGCACCATCTCCAGTTTTCTAGTGGTTCACTGGAGTCAAGAGTCCCATGGAGGAGCTGGGAAGGTGGCTCAGTGGTAGAGCGCTTGCCTTGCATGCCTGAGGCCCTGGGTTCCATTCCTCAGCACCACATAAGCAAAAAGAAAAAAGCCG